TTGTTTCCCGCTAGTTTTGTTGACCATATATTATACCGTCAGTGTGATCCAACTATTTTAACGGGCATTTTGACAATTTAGTTTCTATTGTACCACAATGGCACCATGTTTGCATCACATTTACATTGAAATGACAAGAATAACAATTGCAGATACAAAAGCTTGATATACACTTTAAATTTTACTATATGTTCCTATTGTACAACTTCTCACTTTATTCACAGTTCAATTCTTCATGTTATATCACCTGTAAATAAAGTGTGATGGATACAGAAAATATAAATAGAAATCAGCCGTTTGTACGGACCAACATTTTTAATCTTTCGTTTGATTCACGTTATCATCATGAAATCTCTGTAAGCGTGCTTGAAAGCTGGTAAGAATATATTTATTTTAGTTATTTGAAAATATATCTCTTGGCAGCCCTAGCAATGACATTTCATTTTGGTTTTCAGTTGTATAAAAGAAAATCCAGTTCATCATTTGTAAGTGTCGACTCTTTAAGTACTTGATATTTGTAAGAGAGCAACAACCAAATGTAAACTAAATGAATCGGGTCCTATTTTCAATAAGTATAACATTAAATTTCCAATATATAAATGTAAGATCCCTATACCCACAATCTGATCGATGTTTAAACGTTCGTTTACCTGACGTATTATGGTATACTGTTGTCCGTCCGTCCGTCCGTCGTCAACGCTTTTGGACAATAACTCAAAAACGCTTTCACCAACTTTGGTGAATTGTTAATATCTATTGACGTAAGCTCCCTTTCGATTTTTTAAAGTTTTAGATTTACGTTTCCAAGTTGTGGGATTTTATTCATAAAAAAATGGGGGATTTTCCAGTTTTTGGACTATAACTTAAAAATGCTTCGAGCAGTTTCATGAAACTTTGGTGAATTGTTTATATATATATTGACATAAGTTCCCTTTCGATTTAAAAAAAAATTCTGTTTTTACGTTTTGGAGTATTGGGACTTTATTCATCAAAAAAAAGGGGGGGGGGGGTTCTTGTTTTCGGACAATGACTCAAACGCTTTTAGAACTTTTCAGGAAACTTTGGTAACTTGTTAATATCTATTGAAATAAGCTGCCTTTTGTTTTATTTTGTTTTTTTTTTTATAAATTTGTTATATGACATTGCGAGTTATTGCACTTTATTTGTTGAAAAATTGTCGAAAACTGTCCATTCTTCACATTTTGGACGGTAATAGAATTTTATTCGTTAAAAAATCGGACAACAAATTTAGATAAACTTGAGGTAGTCTTTATAGTGCCACAATATTCATGTTTTGTGTCAATAGGTACCAATGTGTGCATGTCTTTTTTTTCTTAGAGGGGGTCTATTTGAGAAGTGCTTAAGGATGTTGCTACACCTGTTTTTGACTTTTTGTCAGATATTCGGAATCCTCTAGTTTTATACATGTAGTGCCAATGAAAACAATTGTTTCCTGCATTTTGTCTTGCAGAATATTTATTTTCATCCTGTCTTATGTAATGTTATTTATTTTCAGCTCTTACCAGGACAGGAAATCATTTTTGAAAATCTCCATAACCCTCTCACCATAGAAAATTAATTGGTCGTCACATAAGGTACAGTTGTGCCTAGATCATAGAAACGAACAACATTTCGACTATACAACTCAAATCTGTCCTAGAGTCATGAATCTAGATTTTTGTTCTTAAATTAATATCTGTCCATGACGAAAAGTACTATGTAGGAGCAATTCACCTCATCAATATATTCTACATTAGGTATATATCAAAGCATCGTTGAAATCACATTAAATGCTCTTATCCGTAACAATGAAGTATTATTTTCAGGGGCGTCGGTGGCCGAGTGGTCTAAGCAGTTCAACCACTTAACACTAGCCCATCAACACTGAGGTTGTGAGTTCGAATTCCGCACGTATCAGATGCGTTCGAATTCAATCTTAATTGACTAGAATTGTCAGTTATCCTGCCGTAGGTCAGTGGTTCTCTCTCGGTTTTCTCCGGTCTCCTCTACTAGTAAAACTAACCGCCATGAATAAGCCAATAGTGAACGAGAGAGAGAGAGAGAGAGAGAGAGAGAGAGAGAGAGAGAGAGAGAGAGAGAGAGAGAGAGAGGGGATATCAATGAGGCTATCGAAAATCATAAGTCAAAGAATGAAAGACAACACCACGGTAAAACATTAAACATAAAAAAGAGGTAAATAATAACAAAATAAACAAGACATTACACAGAAAAGTAAAAAAAAGAATAACCAATCAAAACACCGTGATTGAACTCCGGTGCTGCGGAAGTGTTACGGAGATTTACCACTGCTTTTTTTTAAGTTAGTTAGGTAGATGAAGATGTGTTCGCACCACCTGTTGCAGTAAAATTGGTACCGTTCTTATTATTACTACCACTGGGTCGATACATCAGGCTCTGTTGGTGGATTATCCCGAATGGTATCCCCATCCAAGTAGCTACTACTTCGGTACTGGCATGAAAATACGGATATCTTAATTAATTACTTTTGGAGTGTCAAAATTCGTTGGATGTACTTGATAAATTGCATGCTAATATTGGTGATTTCGAATCTGTTCAAAGTTTTGATTCTTCTACCCTATATACCACTTTGCCTCATAGTCTTATTTAGACAAAAATCACACACCTAATTACATGGGCATTTAAAAAGTCAGAATGCGAATATATATGTTCAAACTCTTTTAGGTTATTTTTTAGTAACAACAAACAAAAGAACTATGTCAATTGGACCTGCTTTGATACAATAACTGCCCTTGAATTTTTACTAGATAACATTTTTGTATATTCCGTATATCGTCAAGTTATCGGAATTCCAATGGGGACTTACTGTGCACCACTTATTGCGGACCTGTTTTTGTATTGTTATGAGTTACAATTTATGACTAAAATCAGCAAAGACCCATCGAAACAACATTTGATACAAAAATTTAATAACACTTTTAGATATTTGGATGATATATTGGCTCTTAATAATGAGATTTATCCTGTTGAACTGACTTTAAATAAAGCTAATACTAACAATGAACACTGCCCTTTCCTGGATCTTGATATCTATATCTTTAACGGGAAGCTTAATACCAAAATGTACGATAAAAGAGATAATTTTTCATTTCCTATTGTTAATTATCCATTTTTAGAAGGTGACGTTCCCTTTTCACCATCTTATGGTGTTTATATATCTCAACTTGTTCGATTCGCTCATTATGTAACAACGTATTTGATTTTAACGAAAGAAATCTCTATATTACTGAAAAATTATTACAACCGGGTTTTTGATATCACAAACTAGTCAAAACATTTACTGAATTTTATCATCGGTACAAGGACATCGTTCGTAAATATAAATCAACATACAGACATCTTATACGTTCAGGTATTTCACATCCAATCTTTTATGGTAATATTCTATACAAAGCACAAAAATGTCGACATTCACCTCAAAAGCTAACCAAACCTTTAAACAGACTTATTCAGAAGGATATAGTTACGATACTATTGTCAGGTCATTAAACACGGCATATTTTGATTTTAATATTGATTCACTCATAGGGTCTTTAAATGCATTTATTCTAAAATCAGTTTTGGCATGACACGGGTTATGTTCTTCTCATATATTTTATGATGGTATGATACTAAACCCCTAACGGGAGGGATTGTGCTTGATTTTCATATGATGAAGACATAATCTTTCAATCAGTTTGATTGAGGTCTGGAGCTGGCATGTCAGTAACTGTTAATAGTCCTTTGTTAATTTATGTATCATTGTCAATTTTGCTTAGTTTCTTTTGTTACCAATTCTGACATCGGACTCGGACTTCTTTTAAAATGAGTTTTACTGTGCGTATTGCTGTGTGTTTGTTTATTCTACCTTAGCTAGAAGTATAGGGGGAGGGTTGAGATATCACAAAACATGTTTAACCCCGCCACATTTAACGCCTGTCCCAAGTCAGGAGCCTCTGGCCTTTGTTAGTCTTGTATGTTTTTTTAAATTTAGTTCATTTATATGTTTTGGAGTTTAGTGTGACGTCCATTTTCACTGAACTAGTACACATTTTTGTTTAGGGGCCAGCTGAAGCCCGCCACCGGGTGCGGGATTTTCTCGCTGTGTTGAAGACCCATTGGTGGCCTTGGGCTGTTTGCTGCTCTTTGGTCGGGTTGTTGTCTCTTTGACACATTCACCATTTCCATTCTTAATTTTATTGTGTAATGATAATTTAGTGTTACAAAATTTTGGAAATTATTTTAAATTCAGGAATATCAAATCATGTGTCTAAGACTAAACCTATCATAGATGTTTAGGATTTTCAAATATTTTTGCCTCGAGCATCACTGAAGAGGAAGTCGAAATGCGCATCTGGTGCAATAAAATTGGTACTGTTTATATTATTGTACATTCTTCTAGCTTCTTTGACGGAACAGTACATACCATGTTGCATCGTTGTCTCTTATGACTCGTATTCATTAAATATTGCCTTCCGATGTCAACAATACAGCTTGTGTCGTTGAAATAGAAAGATTCACTAGTTCAAAGTGTATAACCTCATTACCCAGTAGTTATGTTTATAGATAAAAAAGACGTGTAATACACCAAAGGAATCTACTGAAATAGTTTCCACAATAATTAAAGGTTTTGGTAGTACAAATGTTCAATCTTCAAACTTACTAGTTTGTACTTACATGAGAAACATGACGGTTGCCACATGAAGAATAGGGTCTGCTGACAGTTCCGGAGCATGTGAGATCACTACCAAGATTTGGTGGCGTTCGTGTTGCTCAGTCTTTAGTTTTCAATGTTGTAGTGCGAAAACTGTTGTTTGTTTTTGGTCGTTTTTTTTTTTTGCCGTGACGTTGTCAGTTTGTCATCGACGTATGAATTTGAATATCTTGTGGGTATTTTTCCTATCGGAGGGGGAAAGGAACTTTTTTTGTCTATGTTTAACATATAATTCATATATTATACATTATATAGTAATAAGACGAAATGTTTGAAATCACAATTTTACTCTTTATTAAGGAGGATACATGTGGTATTTGCATTGCGGATGATTCTCCAAAAAAATCACTAGTCTTCATCACTTGTTCCGCTTTATGGGTGTTTTCTTCTTCTGGCGCATGGTTTCTTCCTTGTTGTCATCAGCTTTTCGGTTGTTGTGATCGGCGTTTTGGTTGTTGTCATCGGCGTTTCACATATAGTTCCTGTACCAGACGTGCAAAAGTAAGGAACATCGCATTTGATCGGTATTATTTCCGTGGGTTCTGTAACTAAAAAAAAAGTTTTATTTTTAAAAATGTTATGGGTTACGTCATAATTTTTATCTGTTAAATCATCACAAATTATTATCTTATACATTTATATCTGATATTCTCCAAATAAGATGAAAAAGGTCACTTAAACATGTGAAAGACATGTGTATTTACCTAGTAAGTCATACATAATAGACAATAGAGCACCATGGCCACAACATACAATAACTCTGACAATCCAATACATCAACAAACATTGAACATTTTTATCACCGCAACCAATGGAATCAGAAGTACTTTTTGGTATATTTTATAGCAATTGTATAAATATATACATGTATAAGCGTGTAATCAAATCAGTATAGGTTTTAGTTAGCGAAATTTCTATTCAATTTTTCCCTTAAGTTAATTTAATATAGAGTGCAACAAATGATCACACATACATTCTAATGAGAAAAAAAGACTTTTGGACACCAAGTACAATATCTGAAAATCGTGTTCTTTAATATACTGATATGTATACTACACGAGAACTGCAATATTGTCTCACATTCTAGTTTAACCTATAGAGGTGTAATCTGTCTTGCATTAGTTTTACTTAAACATAGAACAAAAATCTTTAAAGGAAAAGTTGCGTTACGTACAAGTTGCATAATATAAGTTGTATTATACAATTGAAGAAAAAGATTTACCAAATCAGCATCAAATGTTAGAGTATAAGGAGCCACGATGTCTACAACTCAAATTGAATCAAATATTGTTTGCTTTCAGTAACTGCTAATATTCTTTAATAAGGTAATGAATGATCTATATTTTTCTGTTACGATTTAGCCTGTTAAACCTTTAGTATATCCTTATGTTGTATTATTCAAATCTGATTGTCACTGTGCATTTTATTAGTTAGAAGTAAGCAGTATCCTTTAACTTTACTTTCCGCTACAAAGATGATGTTCTCTCACTAAATAATTCAAAATTTGGTGACTATGTTGAACACATCTATCCCATCGAACTTGAGATAAAGGATACACCAGATACAATTAAGTCTGCCTCATATCTTGACTTACATCTAGAAATTGACAATGAGAGTCGGTTGAAAACAAAACTTTATGACAAAAAAGATGATTTCAGCTTCCCAATTGTGAACTTTCCATCTTTATGTAGCAACATTCCAGCAGCGACTGCATACGGAGTATATATCTCCCAGTTGATACGATACTCCAGGGCTTGTATTTCCTATCATGATTTCCTTGATAGAGGGTTGCTGCTCACAAGGAAGCTATTAACCCAAGAGTTCCAAGTGGTGAAGTTGAAATCATCCCATCGTTAATTTTACGGATCCCATCACGAGTTGGTTGACCGTTACGGAATATCCGTTTCACTGATGATAGCGGATATGTTCCTAATATCGTAACTACAATCCCGTCCCTTTTTCCCGAATGTGACCTACCGAATTAGACTTATTACCGGGTTTGTACTAACATGAGCAACACGACGGGTGCAACATGTGGAGCAGGATCTGCGTACCCTTCCGGAGCACCTGCGATCACTCCCAGTTTTTGGTGGAATTCGTGTTGCTCAGTCTTTAGTTTTCTATGTTGTGTTTTGTGTACTATTGTTTGTCTGTTGGTTTTTTTCTTTTGTAGCCATGGCGTTGTCAGTTTATTTTCGACTTCTGAGTTTGAATGTCCCTTTGGTATCTTTCGCCTCTCTTTTACTTCATACCATTTGATATTTCACTGTCCGAGAGGGGTCTCTGTGGCTTAGTGGTCTAAGTAATCAAACTACTGTATCATTAGCTTGTCAACACTGAGGTTGTAAGTTCAAATCCCGCACGTGGCAGGTGCATTCGACTCCAATCTTTATTGACTAAGATTGTCAGATTTTCCTACCGAAGGTCGAATATTCTCTCGAGGCACTCCGGCTTCCTCCACCAATAAAAACTGACCGCCACGAAATAGCACAGTAGTGTTGAAAGTGGTGTTATACACCAATCAATCAATCATGCAATCATTTTCTAGGAATAAAAACGGCTGTGGGTTGCCCCTGTTATATGTTAATATGTCTTCCAAAGGTCAGGTACCAGATGCGTTTTCGTCTTGTCTTAAGATTGATGTTTATGCTGTTTATTTTTACTTTTATACGAAGGTAAGGGATTGAGATTATATTACCTTTTAATTGAATGTTCCTAAACTATTTGTCTTTTCAGAATCTATTTGTTATAATATAAAACTTTCATTTTGTGTTTTGATGATCATTTACTTACCGACTGGACTTTCTGGAACAAATATAGTGGAAACAATAAATCATGCGTATAATGTTCCAGAGTTAATGTGTTGAATACCAATGATACCTCATCGAAAAAAAAACAAAAAAACTCATGTTTAGAATGCATATCAGAATTATTCAATACTATCGGTTAAACTGATTAAACTAACAATTAAAAAGAAATGAATATAAGAGTTTACAAATGAGTGTATAGTAAGTTCATAACATTTTGAATTACATAGACTAGATGGAATTGAAACTAGACACACATTTCACAGGTTTTCCAGATTAAGCTTTTCAATATTACTACTAACCTATTGTAATTGCAATTAGGTTTCTGTTTTATGTTTCTGTATGTTATACCTTTTTGAAATGATAACATGGTTAATGAACAGAAGCCGAACAAGTTAAAACTGTTTATCTCATTGATACACCAAAGTTATTCAAACGATATGATATCACAAAAAGGATAAATATGATGTACATACCAATGGCAAGGTCGAACGTAGTTGTAGCTTCGGAGCAAAGACTGCACAAAACAGTTTCATTGAAAGCCCCTGGAGGCACTGGATTTACTACTTTTGGAACTGTAATCAATGATGAAAAAAGAATCCATAATTTCAACTGGAAGATTATATCCTATACATTTTGTACAACATCATATGCATATATATGTCACCGTTTTTGTCGTAACCACAGTCCTCTTTACCTCGAATGTGACCTACCGAATTAAATTCACCGGATTTGTACTTACATGAGCAACACAACAGGTGGCACCTGTAGAGCAGGATCTTCTTTCCCTTCTGGAGTACCGGGGATCACCCTCGGTTTTTGGTTGAGTTCGTGTTGCTCAGTCTTTAGTTTTCTATGTTGAGGTCTGTGTACTGCTGTTTGTCTTCCGGTCGTTTGTCGTTTTTTGCCATGGCGTTGTCTTTTTTTTTACTTTTGGTATCTTTCGCTTTTCTGTTATAACCAATATTTTCTGCCAGATATCTTAAAGTGTAAATCTTCACCCTTTATCTTGCATCATCGAATTTACTTCAATTTAACACAATTTTTAATATGCACAAGAAAAAAATCAAAGCCATAAGAGTTTATAAGAATCAAACGCAAGCGCTGTTAACTAAAAGGTAAAGATAAAAAATAAAATGACATGTAAGGTAATGTTTTATGCTGGGTTTTATTCGTTCTCCCTCTTACCTTGAAAGTAATACACTGAGAAAGAACCATATATAAAATCTAGTGTGAACTGATGTGGGACGGATCAACAGTTCCTTCTCCACACAATCGTACAAGTTTTTAACTATGATAAGCGAATTGTTCATCGGTATTAAATATATCTAAATGTTAATGTACATGTGACACTAATATCGATATAAGAAAACTCAAAGCAATACGGTTTTGATTAGTAAATTTTACTTTTTTATCAGAACACATCATGTATCAGTTATTAACATGTATTAAATTTCAATCTATACTTTTACTTACTACCTCTGTCACCAATTGTAAATTTGTTTTCACCAGGAGTAAAATCTATAGTTAAACATTCAAATTTGTTTTCACCATAACTACAAAGAAAAAAATATTCCGATACAAGTTAAGGATATATGGCAAAATAAAAAGGACGCAACTTCAAACAGAGGCGAAAGATATCAAAGGGACATTCAAACTCATAAGTCGAAAATATACTGACAAAGCCATGGTAAGAAGAAAGAACAAACAACAGTACACAAAACACAACATCGAAAATTAAAGACTGAGCAACAAACACCCCACCAAAAACCGGGTATTTAGTATGGCTCCTTGCAGGATAGGGTTAAACCAACCAAATAATTTTATTTCTGTTGAAATTCCCAATAATGTAAAAGGGCTTGCTTGTATGTATGCCAGTAACTGTATCATTTACATACCTTTTACAATCAGTCTTATTCGAGCCGTCATGAACATGCTGAAACAATCTTAATGTTAAAAAAAAATCAATAGTTATCTTCGATGGTTTTTCAACGCTTCATTGGCAGCGCTTTGTTACATATCACTTTTTCTCATCTACACAAAAAAACACGATAGGTTTGTACCAGATAAATGTGTTTCCTACCCGGCATTATGTATTATAAAAAGAAATAAAAGAAAAAAGACTTTGTCCTACGTATATTCGTTTTTCTTTCGTATAGTACCAAGACAAATTTGTAATAAATGATATAAATCCCCGAGGAACAGCAGTACTGAAGAAGCGGTAGGATATCAAGTAGGTCAAGAGATCTTGCACAACCAACCAAGTCCTTCGTGTTATTCCTGTTAAAAAGATTATTTATTTATAGACTACCGAACATGAAAGATAAAACCTTTAGAAATGTTTTTTAGTGTTCTGAATTGATCAGTATATAATCCGTCGAGTCATGGTTAGAATCGGGACATCAATTATTTACATCATACTTGTATTGCTTCTTATTATATTGTATTGAAAGTGTTGATAATTTTTTTTCTTCTTTCATTTGATTGGACAGTTGTATTTATACTACTACTACTTTAAAACATACCTGAGAACATAAAACTGATCTGTAATTTGATGACAATAAGCTGGATCACCACCTAAATCAAGCACAACACCGTCATCTTCGAAGAACCAAAATGATGAAAAAATAGGGGGTGACCCACGGTATACATTAAACAATTTGCCGATCAATTCATCAGGAAACATACACGGAAACTCAGTTACGCCTGTAATAATATCATTAATAATATAAAAATGTTATTTCAAAGGGAAATGTGATTTCAGTATCAAAACAATTCCGAATTCCCTTTTGAATTTTTTCATACGTTAGCTTACTAATTTAACTACACGAGTGTCCATATAACAGATATTATAAAGACGTTTAAATTGTTAGATGTGTTTTCAAGATTCGTTATAACTAATTTTGACAGTAATAATATTGAATTCAAAATCCTTGAAACGAATCTTTATTTGTTGACAATAAAGGAAATATTTATCAAGAACATTTACTGATTATTCTTAATTGTAGGTGCATATTAACAATACTTTGAGCACATAAATACTTTTGAAATAAGTACCGAGTCAGACGCGATTCTATATATTTCCAATTGATAAATTATCAAATGACGCTATTTAAAGCTTCTTTTATAAACCTATGATGCATATTTTGACGTTTTTTCTTTACAATATGTCAATCATATCGAAACATTTTTAAATTTCTAATAAAGCCAACCAATGCTATTTTAAATTTCTAGTAACCCGCAACAAATGCTTTATACGAATATTTCATATCCGTCACAGGTAAAGTTATTTGTCATCACTTCTACCATGGAAATTATATTGTTAAACAAAGTTTGTACAGAAAAATTTTTGGCAATATCAAAAGTATATGTTCATGCGTGGTGTTGAAACAAACAAACATTTAAAGCTACCACATCGCCGCAATGGTTAAGACAGTTATCACAGTAAGAAATAATTCACTTTATTCTTATTTCATATTAGGCTTATACACTCTTACCTTCAACCTGATAAGTCACCAATGCAGCACCAACATATAACAATGTACCAACGAATTTCATCGCATGATGATAGAGAATGTATTGGTTATTTATCTTATGACTAGTTGTGGTCAGTCGTTTTGTAAAAATGAGGCATCAACAACTCAATATATATATTAACATCGTGTAACGTCGGCAGTCTAGACTTATATCGATTTCATCGTGCACTTGTCTAATTGTACCAGGAAGTGTTATTATTTATAGAAAACCATAGTGCCTAGTGCGTCAACAGATGATGATAATAATGAATGTTTGTTTAAAGTCCGGCGTCAAATTGATTGCTTATTCAGAACGAGAACATGTTAATGCAATATGAATATTAACTCAGACTGCTTTGTATAAGAACGCCACGCTGAGCGGGTGCTAGTTCAAAAGGTGACAGTCCACAGGATGACATACCACCCTTGTTTTTATTATTAAAAAACTTAACTTTTAGCTTTTTGAAGCAAAGTTAGCCCTAGACTTGTATAGTTATTTCTTACGTTTAGTTTAGTTTAATAGCTAGTCCCATAATGTCGGCTGATGGTTTATGACCGAGCTATCGTTTCCTGTTAAAAGTTGATCATTTAAGGTACAAAGTTTAAGTTGTTAAAAATTATGACAAAACTGATTCCGGTTTTTTTTTTGGGAACATTTGCCTATTTTATAAAAACAATAAAAACGGTATATACTAAAAAAATATTGATAGATACATATTGACTTGCATACAAGTTACAAGCACAAGCAGGATAAATTAATTAATCGTTTATAACGTTGTCATATCTTTCCGAAAAAATATAACTGATTTTTCCAGATACATTTGGTAATTCTTTTGATCTTTTCTTTGACATCAACAACTTGTTAGTAATATGCAAGGACAGTCATGACATTTTTTTACTTTTTACGGATGTATGGACGGAAAGAGCATCTTTGAAAATGTGCCAAATTATCTGGTTAGTCTTACAAAAGTACGTTGTGTTGATGACACTTGTTTACGCTAAATATTAGACCATAATTTTATCTCTAACCGACATAAAACTTATTCCAGCGATAGCAGCAGATTAATATCACATGGATTTCTGCTATCACTATTCTTAACCAATATATTTCAATAAGAGAATGATCATGTCTATATGAAACATGTATGTGTCTGTTATAAGTGTAATATAAGTGTAGTAATTCATTTACAGCAAAGACTATTTTAACCTTCAAATTATCAACTAACATAAAGATATGAAAGGTATAGCATATTTGACGAAAGGACAATTCTACAGATGCTGTACGTGTTAGAACCTGACATGATGCCTCGCATGTTTCCATTTCCTATTGCTGGAATCATTTTTTCTGCGTATTTAGATATTTTTGTGGTTTCATCTATCCCTTATATTGTTTTATATGGTCTTGTCATCACTAGTAAACGAATTTTAGTCTGAAAGGGTCGTTTTGATCCGAACAGATCTCAAACGACTAAACAATAACTTGTTAGGTGATTTTCAGTTTTTCAGTTCATTTTCAGACTGAATTGACTTAAAGCGACTTGTTTGAACAGTACTGAATTTACCGCAGTCGCTATATCGAAAAATTTACTGAAAGACTTAACATGATTTAACTATTTATTGTTCAGATTTTTCAGATGATGTTAAGATGAAATTGACCATTTCAAACTACAATTCGTTTACTAGTGCATTTTCTGTGGATGTATGAATTATCCAATGTTGTGTTCGTTTCTTTTCGCTTTAAGTGTTATTACTTTTAACAGCTAAAAAAGGTAAGACAAATAATTAAAACCATCTATTTGTTCTTTCTAATTTGTAAATTCATTATGTATTTGTTAACTCCTCATCATCTAACGAGGATATAGAAATAGTCTTCGTTTGTTCGTCAAAAATAACAACAATACCTTAGACACCTTTAAACAGACGGCTTGCAGAATAGGTAGGATGATTTGTCATCATATTCTCTTGATCGTAATATACCGTCAGTTTGATTTTTAGGTGTGTTATATGATTGATTAATTGGTTTTTAGTGATTTACGCCACTTTCAGCACTAATTGGCTATTTGTTGCGGTCTGCTTTTATTGGTGAACAAAACCAGAGTGCCCGGAGAGAACCATCAACCTTCAGCAGGAAAACTGTCATTTCTTTCCAATAACGATTGGAGTCAAACGCACCTTCCTTTTGAAGGGGTTCGAACTCACAACTCCAGTTTTGACAGGCTAGTGATACAGTACACGAACTTCTAAGACCTATGGGCCATCGAGGCCCCTAGTGAATTGTATGAAAAATATTCCATTCTCTAAAGGAGTTATACCACCATTGCTTTTCCCCTATTAGTCTCTGTTAAATTAGAACTTTTCAAAAAATTGCATAGTTCGAACTCACAAACTCCAGTGTTGACGGACTAGTGATACAGTACATGAACTTTTAAGACCCTTTGGGCATCGAGACCCCCTAGGGAGTTATATGAAAAATATTTCATACTCTAAAGGAGTGATATCACCATTGTTTTCCCTGATTAGTCTTTGTTAAATTGAAACTTTTAAAAAAATTGTGCAGAATTTATCTTTGTTTCAAATAAAGAAATACTTGGTATGAGTAAAGTTTTATCCTGTCCAGTACTACAGACAAACTTTAAAAAAACATTTTGCATACAAGATAATAACCATCACTGGAAGTTAACCAATCAAATTTTCACCCCTTTTTTCCTGTTTACAATCTTTATTAACCATGTAACCTCAAATTTCCAAAATATTTTATAGAAACACCAAATGAAAAAAGAATGGTGCTTTGAAACACCCAAGATATATGTTGATGACTTTGAATTTTTTTCTGCAATGAAATGCATGGTTCACGTCCTACAACTGTTAAATTCCAGGGAATATTTTTGTCGTCCTTTTTCGAATGAAACCGGATGTGACGTACTTTGATTTGATGGTATTACACCTAAAGGAGTGCCTGCCATCATGTGTTATTGACCATATTTTCCGTCATTTTGACAAAACCATTTGTATAGGAATTACGGGGATACCCTTTTTTAGCTATCCTGCCACAATGACACCTGGTGAACATAACTTACCAGAGACCGTTAAATACAAAGCTGTTATACCTTATTGTTTGCCGTTTTGTTCCGTTGACCATGCATTATACAGTCATTTCAATGCAATCAGTTTTACGCGGCAATTTTGTTTTTCTATTGTACCACAATGACATCATGTTGGCATCACATTTACCTTGAAATGATAAGAATAACAACAGCAGATACAAAAGCTCGAACTACACAGTTAAATTCCTCATGATATTCCCTGCAAACAAAGTTTGATCGCTACAAAACATGTATATAAAAATCAGCATTCTGGACGGACCAACTTTTTTTATCCTTCGTTGGATTCAAGTTAATATCAAGAAATTTCCAAAACCGTGCTTGAACTGGTAAGAATCTGTTTGTCATTTAAAAAGTTATCTTTAGGATCGTTTGACAGCCCTTTCAATGACATTTCGTTTTTGTTTTCAGTAATATAAAAGAAAATCCAGTTCATCATTTGTAACTGTCGACTCTTTAAATACTTCATATTTTTACTAAATCGGGTTTTGTTTTCAATAAATATGAAATATAATTTCAAATATATTAGATCCCTTTAACAATGTATAACCACAATCCGATCGATTTTGCGAAGTTGTTTTCCAGACGATAAACACATTTTCAATAAAGTTATTGAGGCGTATCTGCTATTTCTGTCAACTACAATGTATGTCAGCATAAGCAATATTGATTAATGTAACAATTGTTTCAATATGAGGGTCTGGATGGAGTTTATACAATAATGGACCACCACCACAGAAAAAGGGCCAAACTAAATAGAGACTAAAGAAAATAGGACGAAAATAAAGAATAGAGAATATTAAGGTGTTTAAATATGAAAAATAGATAATTCTGGGCAAAAGTGATAAAGAAAAGAGAGGAAAGGCTAAAAAAATCGAAAAATACAGAATTGAACGACAAACTATCCAAATCCTCGATTTAAAGAGCCTACGTTGAAATATTTCGTGTTAAACATATGTTAAAGAGGTATTAAAGGGTTTTTATTCGTATTTAAACAAATTTTATTTGACGTGTTTTAATACTGAATGGTTATTTTTGGTTCATCATAGTGCTTCATTCACAAAAGCAGAAATTTATGATCTTA